CAGGAATGGGTAGGGTAGGGTAGGGCCCTTGAACACATACCTCACTCAGATAGTAAAATGTCCTGCTTTGTAAATGTGTATGTTCAGGTTATCACTGTCAATAAAAATGTTTTTCTCAATGCACTCATTCAGTTAAGTAAAGAATGATCACATCAATAGTAGAACTTGCTATTTATTTTAAAAAGCAATATATGTAGAAGCAGATTCACTTCAAATTAATTAACAATCGTTAGCTAATATACCTGTATACTGTATGTTTGTGCACCCAGACTTTTTAGACTTTGAAAGCAGAAATGATATCATCCACTAGGTGGCATGAATGACTGTTGTTTGAAGAGTAGCATTTCATGTGTTATCTTTGAAAAAGCTGTTTACTGTTTATATTTATGAAAGATTTGGAGCCATTTTCTAACAGTGTTTTTTAAAACGACCTGCTGTTGTCTAGGTGGGCATTTGAGATGTATCTTTTTGAAGTATTTCTATCATGGTTCAGAAACCAGCCTCCTGTAACTAGGCGTTAGAAAATGTATTGAATGGACTTTGATCTTCAAGGTGCACCACAGTGCTGAGTGACGTTGTTCAGCAAGTTAGCACAGTGTAAATATTCCTTTAAAACTTCCTGATACCATGTACAGTATATACCAGATACAGAGTCAACAGTAGGGGTAAGTGCTCATAGAAAAGAATAAATAGATATCTTAATGTTAGTTTAAGTAGCATCATGTTTCTCAATGCAGGTAAATTTCCTAATACTGTATATGAAACATTTCAGAAGGAAAATATTGGTACTGAAAAATTATTGCCAACCGATATAACTGTTGCTGTAATAATCCACAGTTGCCTGATTTCCTCCCAGATTACTATGAATTTCACATTTTATATTATATCCAATATTGGAAAGATAATCCTCTAGTTGTTGCTGTTTTTTATGTACTGTATATATTCTGTATTTTTGTAATTAAGTTCTGTTTAGTTCACACACTTCACACAAAATTAAGATATGGTGAGCATAGTGTCATAGTTCAACACTGCTGAACAAAGGTGTGTGAGTCTGTGTGTTTGCATG